GACCTAAGCAGGCGGTGTAGAGCAATCCATGAGCGAGATGCAGAACTCGAACAGGTGCGCTGCGTACCAATCGTTTCTGCAATTCTTGACCAGTGCGCCCAGACGTGAAGGAGAACGATAGCAGGCACCCCACTCAATGGCGTCGCTCGCGCGCTCCCTACGGCTTCTAGCGTGCCTACGTTCTTGCCCTCCAAAGTGCCAAGATGACGTCCATCACCGCGCTGCCCATAGATCGCCCAAGCGCGATGCGCGAGATGAGTGGGCCTGCTACGGGAGACCGTTTGTGGCATCTCTCCCTCGGGAGATGTGTACTCAAGGACCCAGACGCTAGTGAGACACCATGACGTCAGCGCGCTTGACTAACCATTCAGCAGTAAGCGCTTACCTGCGTCATCAATCTCCGTAGGCTGTAGCAGTACATCCAGCACGGCGTGGAACGGTCGCTCATCTGGATCGAGCACGTCTAATCGAATGACGGGGTAATTCTCATGCAGATAAGCCGGCGACGGATGAGTGAACATGAGCCTCCGGGTCGGCTTGGTGCGGTTTGTGGTGGGCGGCGGCCTGGGGCGCGTCTACGCGCAGTACCGGCATCGTCTTCGGTCAGTCGAGTGAGCTGTACCATCCGCTTCCAAGAGCCCTCGTTCAGCCGCAGGATGACCTTGATCATGATGGCGATAGGCTCATCAGACGCGAGACAAGGGTCTGCCCGGCATCCCGCCGCAGATGACCTTTAGCCTCTGGTCTCGCAGGCTCGGCCTGACGAGCAACACCTCCGGCTCTGCTCATACCTCTCCCAAGTCGACTCTCCGCACGACCGCATCGCTCTCGACTGCGGGGCGCCTGCGCACGGTTGGCTCTTCCCGATGTGGAAGGTGCACCGAGAGCGAATCAAAAGTCAAAGGAGATGTCGGAACCGACGTTGGTGATGTGAGGGAGATCTGGAATGCGACGCGCTCGTTTACTGCTGCCGTGGACTTTGGAAGACAGCACTTGAGTTCTCTAATGATGTATTAGGAATAGCAGCGGTAATGAGAAAGAGGATTAGCGCACAGATCGGTCGTGCATCGGTGAAGTCCATCACGAGGGCTTCGTCTAGGTTCGAGGACATCGCGTTCTTGAGCACGGCGAGCAGCTTCTCCACAACGCTCTCCTCCTCGTCCTCTCCATCTACGCATTGCGTCATCAGCGTCTAGTCATCCAGGTACCCAGACTTCAAATCGGTCTCACCTCAACGTCCCCCAGCTGTTGCGCGCACGCATGCCACGTCTGCAATGGCGGCCACAGGATGACGCCCCGGTTCTCGTGCCGGTATGTCTTGGCGATACGTTCAAAGAACCTATCTGACAGTCAGCAAGAGACGGCAAGAGAGAACCGTTGGGGGTCGGCACACCTGAGAGACATGTCGAGCTTCCCCGCATCACAATGCGTCTGCGCGATCCTCGACGAGATCCGCAAGACCGGCCGTCCCGTGCCCTGCGCGTTCGCCCGCCTATGCTTCTTGAATAGCCCGTGGGACTCGGCGTATAGCTCCTGTATAACGGCCAGATGGTCGATCTTCTCTCGTCCGTAAAGCCCGGCGTGTTCGCGACGGCCTGAGGACCACCCTGGTTGATCACCATGAGCCGCTCTCTCCTCTTCTCGGCCGCGCTAGCCGCGAGATCGTGGAAGAAACCGGAGTGTTGCAGCGCGTTGGCTAGATTCAAGCCTAGAATACGCACGCCTTCGTCCACACCGGCGCTTGTGCCGCGGATGATGAAGGAGGGGATGTGCGTGAGCGCTCGTTGTTATAGTACAGCTGTAGCTTGGTGATCTAGACGTAGAAAGGGTGAGTCAATCTGACGAAGAGGGAGGTGAGAGTATGAGAGTATCTGCCGACCGGAGGACATGTTTTAGGGAAAGGGAGGAGCTCTGGCTCGGTAGCGAGCTTGACGCCGATCGTGAGCTGAACTGAGAGAACGAGTAACGGCGCGGCAACAGCTGTAGTCCGCACGAGTCCAGAGGCAGCCAACTGCGCGGGCATTCCCCATCCGTGCGGGCAAGGGCGCATACGATCATCGTACGCGCAATCGCGCACGATCTATGTGCAAGAGAGGTTACGGGAGGAAGGCGAACTTCCCGGGTACGTTGGCGGGGTCTGGCGCGATTGCGCCCTTTTAAAGCTGCGAGCCAGCGGCGCGACGAGCGCATTCTCGCGCCACTGCGTGCTTCTTGGAATTCATGGAGAGGGTGCAGCATTGTGGGTGTGGATGAATTGAATCCGCCTCCGGGAGGCGAGTTGGTGGTGGACCAAACGGAGATTAAATCCTGGTGAGCGACTTTTAAAGCCCAGGCGCCATTTCGAGCCGGGCACCATCATAAATGCCGGCACCATTTTAAAGTCGGGCGCCATTTAATGCCGCGTGTCCCCGGCCATCCCGTGGACTGCCATATAACTCGTATTTTGCAGATGTCTCGTATCCCCTAGACTAGTACTAGGTATAGACGACGTTTATGTGGAGTCGCGGGCGTCAACAGTGCATCGTAGCTTGCCCTGGCTGTATTTCAGTGTTTCCGGCATTTAAATGTGACCGCATCCGTGACAAGGCACATTAAAAAGCGTTGACGCCCACGGCTGTCCAATCATCCGTCCAGGCGACGGTGTTTCCCGACTGCGAATCGATGGTCGCACAGTCTGAGCCAGAGCTGGCACCGGATAAGCCCCATTGGTCTGCATGATCGTTAGTTTCCAAGACGCCTCCATATGGACGAAAAATGCGAACCCAAGAACAGTGTGTATGTGCCGACCGTCACTTGATCCCACTGCCCACAGTACGACTATAGAGACCATCAGTAAGAGGATGCAAATGACAGAGCTTAGAACGCACCGTTGCACGGGTGGTGATGTCGCTAGCGGGAGCTGCGGAGACAGCGAGCGAGACAGCGAGACTGACGAGGGCGGCGGAGAACATGGCTCTGAATTGAGAGTGACCATAGCGAGCCTGCTGTAGCGTTCCTTATATGCTCGGAGGTGGAAAGAGCTCGGATCTGTGCAAGCTTCGACGTAGCAGCAACATAGGCTTCTTGGAAACGTGCACGCAACACGCGCAGGCTGTTCCCAAGTAGCAGTGCGAGCATCGGGGGTGTAGCACTAAGCCGAAAACGTCATCAGAGCAGCCACGAGCACCTGGTGACAGTGAAGCGCATGCTACAGAGTGCATCGTAGGTAGTCACTAGAGTCAAGGCGGTCCGGATATGCCGCTTTCCCGGTTGACAATGAATACGTCCAGTCTAGAGCGAAAACCCCACTTCAGAGGTGAGGCTTGCAGTAGGATGGTTCCCGTGAGCTTTCCTAATGATGTTCATGCCGTCCGCTATTTCGAGTACTACCGATAGCCTTCCGAGCTCCAGCGGCTTCCGATTCACTGAGTGCGGCCTGCAGTCATCAGACCCATACAGCCAAGAAGGGGAAGATGATCCAGTGTCCATCCGGCGCAGAGGTAATTATGCCAGGCACCCAGACCTGAACTTCGTACCCGGTTACCAAAGCAACGTAGACGTAGATGCGTAGCTCAAGCTCCCGACGCCCACCAGTCAATCCGCGACACAGCAGTTATACGTACAGGACTTCCACAGGATACGTTGGGGCCTTTGTCGATGTAACATCCGTCCAACTGTCATAAGAGCTCCCCCGTAGCACTTACTGTTCCCGATCACGATCTCGGCCACCTTGACGTTTTTGGCTTGTCACGCGCGAAATATGTTAGCTATTGCCTTCGTTCGAGCTGAGAACAGTATTCTAGCATCTTCATCACTATAGAATACCGGCAAGAAGTATTCTGCGCAAAAAATGCTTACCGTATGGGGTATTTCGCGGGGTCAGTCAGAAAGTCGCGTCAATCGGGAAGTCGGCCACCCTACTTTGATGGGACATATTCAGCATGTATCTTGCCACAGTATGCTCCTATACGGGCTTGATACAGCTGTAGAAGGCATTTGCTACGCATATGTCCGCGTCTGCGGCCTCACAAATAACGTACGGACGACGACGAGGGCGAAGAAGTGGCAAGCCAGGCGTGGGAACGCCGTCAGAGCAATTGATGCTTGATCTCACCAGATTCGGGCTCCCGGCCTCCATTGTACGCGAAGGCGAGGAGCTACGTACATATAAAGTACACGGTGATGTAGGTACGTGTCTTCTCAATCGTATGCAACTCTTAGATTGAGAAAAGAGGGAGTAGTAGGCGAGAAAATGGCCTGTGGCCGAGTACCACGTGTGGCCGAGTGCCTGATAAGCGCCAGTAGAGGCAGATCAAGTGAGCTGGATGCAAAAGCTTGCACCATATCATATCGCCGTGACCAGATCGTAGAACATTATTCCCAGCCGGACGGCCTCAGAGCGCCCGAGATTTAGGCGCTTTCTCGCTATGGCGTTGGAAGGGGTGGCTTCGATCCAGAATACAGAGCGCGTCATAGCTTCGGGAGTGCATGTTGTAGCTGTTCGGCGAAACAAGATCTATGTTCTGCCTGAGGAGATAGAATTAAAAAAAGACTGGTCGATGGTGCATCGGCCACGCTAGAGACACCAAGCATGAGGGTAAGAGGCAAAGGCAGAAGGAAGGCAAAATAGTACTGTAGTCGCGGCGCGCGGCGGCGCGGGCTCGCGCGGTTGCCCCTGAATTGTGCCGTCATGTGGGCACTCGGGTTAGGGTTGCGGTCTCAATAAATTCGTGCTCAGATGCCTTCCTGTTCCAACTTCCGTGCGGCGCACTTTACTTCAGGACTACTTCAGGCCGGTATCGCTACCAGGAGACGTAGAGCAATACTGTATGGACTTGACTTGGCTGACCGGCGTACGTCTAGACCGCGGCTCGGGCCGGATGCGTGAGAGCGCGCTGGGAATTTCATCTTCGTTCATGTCCGTTTTTTGCGACACGAGGCTCGCGTTGACGCTGGGCACTGCGACGACCACCATACGCTACGCCTCCTCCGCGGTTATTCGCGGATCTCTAGCATATAAGACTACCATGTCTACTATCGATATCTCATAGCTTTGCCAGCAGCTGTTCTACTGTTCATTCCGTAGGATGTATACACTTCCATAACCCGTCAAGCTCTTCGCCGCCCATTGATGGCTACCATGACACTCTTAGCGTGCTCCACAAAACCATATACTCGCAGATCTGGGGGACGCGACGCTCTTCTCGGCGCTCATCGTTACGTTGTAATAGTAATATAAAGAGTCTCGTCGAGCCTAAGGGCGTCCTCACGGACTTCTTCCCGTTTCCCTCCTTGCGCGGGCTCTGCCGGTGACCGAACACGCTCCTTCGAGTCTGCTCCCCACTTCTACTCAATATGGTCCCGGCAACTTCCCTCGTCGTACTCGCTGCCGCTGCGTCTGCGCTCGCAGGCCACCACAATGCTCGCCATGCCGAGCTCGCAAGGCGGCAGGCTCACATTGAGCGCTCGCTCGTCGACGTCTGCGCAAGCCTTGACCTCGACCTTCAGCTCCTGGACATCCTGCCCGGCGGTGCGTCATCCTGCGCTCTCAATGCGCTCGCATACTGAAGTTGTCACTAGGGAAGCCGCTGATTACGGGCCACATCGACGTCTGTCTCTGCCTATCGGTTCTTCCCGGGTTCGTCAAGAGCGACCCGGCGTGTCAAGCCGCTGCTCAGCACATCGGGCACGAGGGTGTCTTAGGCATGCTCCAAGATCACGTACGTTCTCCCCTCCACAAATCCCACCGCTGAAGAGAGACTGACACTCGACGCAGATGAACAACGCAACAAGCAAACAACAGTGCACCTACCCTCCACACGCCCAAGCCAAGCCCACCTGCGAACGCTCCGACCCCTGCGGCTCATGGGAATGCGCAGACGGCTACAAGAAGTCCGGCGAGCAGTGCGTCTGCGAGGCGCCGGCGACGGAGTGTAACGGGCATTGTGGCTCGTTCCCGAATGGGTGCGGCTCGTCGGCGCCGAAGCGCCGTGCGGCCAAGAGCACGCCGTTCTGCGAGGGCGGGAAGACGCTGTGTGGGATCCCGGGGGGTTCGAGTGGGAGGGGGTATGATTGCGTTGATACGCAGATCGATCTTGAGACTTGTACGTGTTCTTTCGTTGAAGAGTACGAGTTGTGATTGATGGTGTCTATAGGCGGCGGCTGCATCGTCAACTCTCCCTTCTCTACGCTCGCTGCGGACGCGCCGACCGGGAAGGACTGCTCCGCCATTCCCAACGTCGCGGATGTTCTCTGCCAGGCCGGCGAGTGCGTTGTCAACGCGTGCAAGAGCGGCTTCACGCTCAGTCCCGCGGGTGATGTATGTGTCACTTCGAGCAAGCGTGGCATCGATGTTCTCGAGGGCGTCGGCTTGAACCTGGGCGGTGTCGGGATCAAGGAGAAGGGCGCTGCTAGCGTGGACCTGTGAGCTCATGATGTCACGTCGAGAATGTGGAAGCGCACATGAAGTTCGGCTTGTTTGTTTGTCTTATACTATCCTTTGTCCTAATATGATACCTCGTTGTTTGGCTGCTACATCAAACATTGTTTCATTTCGTCTTTGTGGGAATCCGGCAACCATCCGCGAGTATTGGACTTGTGGTATAGGTCGTCAACTCTCTTTGCGGACGGCGCCGTCGGAAGTGATTCGTCTACGTTTTGATCAGCCCGCATATCCCACATCGAGGAGAGATGTCCTTGTGGCATACTGCAGGGGCATATGTATAAGGCGAGTGCGCGTTCGTCTCGTCGCGCTTTGCCGCTGCGTCGCCTTCTATCCCGCTCGCGTACGCATCAGGCCATCTACACACAAGATGTCGCGGCCCGCGACAAGCTCCAAAGAACCTCTCTTTCTACGGGACTCGTCCGAAGACCCCGAGTCCTGCTCCGACACAGAAGAACCCGTGCGTCAATCATCTGCACCATTCCAAACTCACTCGTTCTTTAACTGCAGAAATCGCGCAGAAGCTCACTGTCAGTGAGCTGGAGCGCCGTTTGAGCAAGCAAAGCAAGGATCTCACCGCAAAGTTCAGGCAGATGCTCAAGCGGCCGAAGCCTGTTCAGAGGGAGATCGAGGAGTTGCGGAAGAATCTGAGGGGCGTGATGGATCTCGAAGAGTGGGAGACGGCGTCGGATGCCGGTAAGTAGGGAATGGTCCGAGCAACTTTGCGTGCTGTTGCCATGTTGAGCGGTGTATAGACATCCTACGCAAAGCCGTCGAGGCCGTCAGCAACTACAAGGCCCTACGCTCTAGGCACCGGACTCTCCTCGAGACCAAGAACGAGAACGAGGCGCTCGCTGCTGCCGACCGCAAACGGCTGGAAGAAACAGAGTTGAGATTGTTGAAGGCCAAAGAAAGAATAAAGGGCTTGTCGGACACGCTAGATCACTATAGAGCGACGGAGAAAGAGTTGCAACGCGACTTAAGAAAGGCGGGCTGGCTTCGGCGATATGATTGACCTTCATGTCGCTTCGGATGGCGGGGCGAGCTCTGGGATGTGTACTATAACCATGATATCATCCACTTTCGTTCTGTGAGATGCTATGCAAGTGAAGAAGCAAGAAAGAAATAGGCTCTCGCTGATCATGGCCGTTCGGGTTGAACCCGTGCCACAACGGCGCCGGCGCGACAGCGGATGATCTGCTTCGCGAGGTTCTTCTCTCACCATCACCACGCTCCACATTGTTCGCGATATCCCCGCATGTGCACCGGGTATAATAATCCCAGATGACAGATCTGTCCTACCGCTCTGAAGATTTTAGCATGAGCGGTGAGCGTCCTTGAAGGAACAAAGGGCACGAACGGGCTTGGCGTCAAGCGGCCTGTGGTAAACCTCGCGTGGCCGCGATCCGCTGCGCTGTCTTCCGCTTTCTGGTGACCACGAGGGTCGGCTGGAGATGCTTGCGCGATGACGCCTTCCATATACCGCTCTTCTATCTGGGGAACTGTCGGCTGACTGTCAGACTTCTGCCATCGATAGCTATATACGATTGGGGCGGTGTATCCTATTCGACGACGTTCACGCGCGAAGGACAAAAGCGGGACAAAGAAGCGGGGATGGCCAAAGTCTGCAATGATGATGCCGTTGTCCGACCTTTTGATGCGCGCAACGACGTCTTGTGGTCGGCCCAAGGTCGGTATCATACATAAACGAGGGCCCGAAGATCTATGACCTTCCCCATCCCCCCACCTCCGCGTAAGCCACGATGGTCAACTTCACGATCCTCGCCGGCGGCTACTCGTCCTTCGTCGCCTCGTACCTCTTCAACGCCGACGCCGGCGTCCTGCAGTACACCGGCCAGACCCAGACCAACGCGAACCCGTCCTGGCTGGCGCGGCACCTCACGAACCCGAATATCCTGTACGCGGTGAACGAGGACACGGACGGCAGCGGGACCGGCGGCGTGCAGTCGTTCACCATCGGGAAGGGCGGCGCGCTCACTGCCGTCGGATTCGTGTCGACGCAGGGAGACGCGCCGGCGTTTATGACCCCGCTCGCGTCCGGCGGTATTGCCGCGATGAACGTGAGTTGACACTCGCTTGTGATAGAACTTCGTATACTGATATCTGCTCTAGTACGGCTCGGGCAACGGTATCTTCGCTGCTACATCCGACGACGGTCTCCAGTTCGGCGCCGTCCAGAACTTGAAGTTCCCCACGACGAGCGAGCCGGCGAACGTCTCGCACCCGCACATGGCGTTCGAGTACAAGGACGAGGTGTTTGTGCCCGATCTGGTGCGTCCCCTTATGGTTCCTTCTTTCAATCCGTGCTCATGGCTGTGTAGGGCCAAGACAAGGTCTGGCGCCTCGGGAAGGACGCCTCTGGGCAGTTCTCAATCCACGGCGAGATCGCTCAACCCACCGGTAGCGGACCGCGCCACATGAGGATTCTCAGTGCGTAGCTCCTTTCCCAGTCCGCACTCAACCTGCTAACCAACTACACCAGACGACAACCTCTACATCGCGCACGAGCTCTCCTCCACCTTCACCGCCCAGCCCCTCCCCGCCGGCCCGAACGGCACCTCCGAGATCATCGCCGACATCCCCACCCAACCCTCCGCCGACGCCTCGCTCTCAGACCCGCACTGGGCCGCCGGCGAGATCCTCGTCCCGGAGCCCAACGACGAGTTCCCGACCGCCTACGCCTACGTCTCGAACCGCAACACGGGCAGCACGACGGACCCGCGCGGCGACACCGTCGCGATCTTCGCGCTCGAGCCCGAGGTCAAGCTCGTCGCGCAGGTGTTCTCGGGCGTGCAGCAGATTAGGGGCATCGAGTTTGGAGGGGAGAAGAACGAGTATGTCGTGCTTTCGGGTGTGGTGGGCGAGGGCGGTGTTGCGGTTTTCGAGAGGACGAACGGAGGGGCGAATTTGACGGAGGTTGCGCGCGATACTACTGTTCCGACGCGGACGGGCTTCGTTTGGGGGAGCTGGTAAAGGCCGGGGTAATCTAGCTGTATCCTGTACCACTGTGCGGAATATACCCGCCTGTATCTTCGCTCAATAACAACGAAACTTGAATGTCATTTCTCCGAGTCTGCGGTGATGAAAGCAAAAGCACATTGGCCATGGTCATTGGTCATATTCACACAGGAAGCGTCTACGGTTTCAGTTCAAAAGTAAATAAAGATAAGCTCAAAACGCCCATTGCCCTTTCCCCGTATAGGCTCCTCAACCGAAGTGCGTCCGCGGGCGCGCGACCTTCTCGCCGTCGATGAACGTGTCGACTTTCTCGTCGTAGAACGCGATGTAGCCTTTGATGTCGGCGCACTCGAGGCCGGGGTTGCGGTACCACCATACGAGGCCCTCGAGCTTCTCTCCCGAGGGCAGTTTGACGTCGTAGTAGCTTGCGACGCCCTGGAGCGATTCTTGTAAGCTGGGACAAGCGGAGGAGGAAGTAGTGCAATGTACCTTGTATGGGCAAGCAGACATCAGATCGGATGGCTCGAGGTGCTCTAGGCGTACGTCGGTCTTGGGGATGTACGTCCGCACGGGCAGCCCGGTCTCGAACAGCAGCCGCGCCTTGTTCGTCTTTGCGATCTCGATGCCGTTAATCTCGACACGGACTTCGCGCGATGACTGCAGCACGTCCGTACGCTACATAATGCGCCATCAGTCGCCGTAATCAATACGAGATGCGCGGGCGGGGGTGGAAGAGGATGATGGGAGGAGAGATGACGCACCTTGTACGGGTCCTTCGGGTGCACGAATATCTCCTCGTCCTCCTCGAACCACGAATCGACCTTATCGAACCCGATCTTCAGCCACCCCTTGAGGTCGCCGTGCTTGAACAGCTGCGCCGCGCCGGCCGAGCGCCGGTCGTTGACGACGATGTCGTACGTGTCCGCCTCGGCGTCGCCGCCCGCGTGCTCGAAGTAGATCTCGTCGACGTCGTTGATGGGGATGTAGTAGAGCGGGTAGAAGACGTGTTCCCAGCTGTTGGATGTGGGCTTTGTCAGTACTGAAAGTTATAGGATGCGTTGGATTGAGGAGGGGGCGAGGGTTGTGGCGCGCGGTTGAGGGCGGGATCGATGTACGCACACTAGCTTGGCTTTGCGCGTATCGGCAAGGACCTGCCCTGCGTGCATAACGCGGATGCGCTTCCGACACTTCTCAGAGTAGCCGACGTGCGGGAACGGGATAGACATGATGAACGGTTGCTAGACAATACAAGTGGGTAGAAACAGAAAGTAAAGGGATGAACGAAAGCGCTCGTGATCAGCAGGGATGAGGGAAAGGGAAGACCGGCCCTGAGATCGGTCGGGCGGGTCTATATAGAGGAGTCGAGGCGCGGGCGACAAGGACGGATCGCAGCGCTCAAGCGACGCGCACCGCAATCACAGGCGGGGCGGTGCGAACTGATGATGATATTTCGCAGCTTGCGACAAACAACTCCCGCTACATATATAAATATGGCTCATCGTTGGGCGAGATCAGTCGGACATCACCCGCGCTGTGCAGGGATCAACAACGGCGAGGAGATGGTGGGTGTCAACAGTCAAGAGGCGGAGCACGTCGTTCGTCGTCATCGCGGCGCGGTGCTCGAGCTCGGCCACGCGGAGATATATACGGGTCTACAAGTTGACTGTACTTAGCCGTTATGGGTTACATGATACGGGCCCTTTTATACACTGTGACCGTACGGGGATACATGCGACTACAGCAGTGGACTACGGAGTAACGACATGGACAGGTCTGGGTAGGGAACGTTGCTCGGCTGCTGTCCCGATGTCGAGAGGTGATTCTCCGACTTGCACCGAGCGTCGTAATGTCGCAAGTCGAGCGAGATTGGTAGAGAGACGGTCAAAAGAGTGACAGCCTGCTTCCGCAGTGCCAGTTCGGAAGGTGCGCTGTGATGAGCGAGTAAGAGATAGAGCTTGAAGAATACGAAATCTTGTGGCACCTGCGAATGGCAATGAATGCAGTCATGACCTGCCCCAAGCTCTCCCTGATGCGGAGACGGCCAATCGCGATCTTTGACCAACGTCTATGTGGCCGATATACAAGATGTAAATCAATGTCTGGAACCCGTACTTTAGGTGAGCGCATTTGAGAGGACGCTTCGAGCTTCTTGAAAGAGCATATGTCCATCACCATCGCCGGGAGGCGTGCATGCGCCTCAGCCAGAGAGCATACCCAGTTGAACCGATCGCGACGGTGAAACCTAATGCGGCGCTCTTGGACATCGATGAAGCAAAGCAAAGTCCGACAGCATCGTACATACGTTGCTGGTAGACAAGCAACCGTACAGCAGAGCCGAACAGAACCAATCATACCTCATATTCGCTACCCGGACCTCACTCATAGCCTATATATGGCCACGCTCAAAGCATAGATACGGTCCCCGAATAAGCGTACGATGAGTTTCTGCCGCGCCCGTGGTGGTCGTCAAGGAGCAAGGCCAACGCGCGCGACCCGCGGCCGAATCCAACATCAACACGGCCGTAGCGCGTCGACGCACACAAGTTCCATCTCGCCTTCATCGCCCGCGCCTTGCCCGCCCATCGTCTCCCCTTCCACCGCGTCTGCTGAGATCATGGCCGCCGCGCTCTCAGAACGCCAACAGGACGACCTGTAAGCCCTACAATATATTTCCGGCGAGTCTGGGACGTGTGGTTTACGCAGGCTTTTTATATCGCGTGTGCGGCAGACACAAGGCCATCTTGGATTATCTCAGCAGTGCGGGTTTCGAGTCTACGTTTGAGGAGTTCAAGAAGGAGGCGAGCCTGGTGCGTGCATCATGACGCGAGAAACGGAGAAGCTGTAAGCTGATCTGCGGTGCGGTGACAGCCCGATTTCCAGCCTGATCTCGGGCAAAAGACGAATGGGCTGCTGGTGAAGAAGTGGACGAGCGTGATCCGTATGCAGAAGAAGGTGCGCTGTCACGTTATATACAGTTTATGTATTAAAACTGAATGGGTTGGTGTAGATCCTCGACCTCGAGACGCGACTGCAGGAAGCATTACATGACAACGCCAATATCGCCGCTCTTCCGCCTGGTTCTAGATCGAGAAACAACCCAGACTGGTTGCCGACAGCTTCGTCCTCACGGCATACGCTCACGGGCCACCGAGACGCGGTAAACGCCGTCGCGTTTCATCCTGTATATTCAGTGATGGCGACCGCGAGCGACGACGCGACGTTGAAAGTGTGGGATTGGGAGACGGGCGAGCTGGAGAGGACGTTGAAGGGACATACGAAGCGCGTCACGGATGCGGAGTACGACTCGAAAGGCAAGAGCCTCGGTACGCTGCGCCCGTCGCTCGCTCTTTGGGATGTTGTAATGCTCAATGGGCTGCAGTATCTGCGTCTTATGATCTATTCATCAAGTTATGGAACGTCGAGAACGACTACCAGAATTTTGCGACGTTGCGCGGTCACGAACACTCCGTTTCATCTGCGCGGTTCTTGCCGGGAGACGATAAGATCGTGAGCTCAAGCCGAGATCAGTCCGTTCGGATTTGGGAGATCGCAACGACGTGAGTGATCTCTGTATGCTGTGAAGGTACCAAACTGAACAATGGTTGCAGACACTGTATCAAGGTCATCCGGCCTCATACCGACTGGGTACGATGCGCGCTTCCGAGCTTGGACGGCAAGTACGTCGTGACGTGCTCAATGGACCATGTATGCTCTTGCACTCTCGCTTCCGACTTGCATGCGCTGACCCACGTATGATAGACCGCTCGCGTCGTCGAGGTTGGCTCTGGGACGACTAAAGCTGAGTTGCGAGGGCACGACAACGTCGTAGAAGCCGCAGTATTCGTCCCCCGCGCGTCCGTAGCTGCATTACGCGAGCTAACAGGCCAGAAGGTCGGTCCCCTACCGAGATCTACTATAGCGTCGCTTCCAACTGACAACGATCAATTTCAACCAGACGGCGGCAATAGCGGAGACGATTGCAATCGCGCATGTAGTCACTGCATCGCGCGACAAGACCATCAAGATCTGGGATGCGATTAGAGGACAGTGCTTGCACACGCTGGTGCGTAGATCTGGTCTTTATCGTCTCGTTCTCATGCACACGCTGGCGCTTGCTTCCATCCCTACGGATCTATCTATCTTATCAGACAATCACACCGCGGCTGCGTCGCGCACGAGAACTCTTGTGAAGGTTCACCCGCCTGCTGAAAGCATTGGCTCGTCGGTGTGAGACTCGAAGAGCATATGCGGAAGATACCAACATGCGCTTCACATTCTTCCAATCATCCGACGCATTATCGCTGACCACATGTTCGTACCCTCAGGTCGGCCACGACGACTGGGTTCGCGGGCTCGTCTTCCATCCAAACGGAAAATACCTCCTCTCGTCGTCTGACGACCACACCATCCGCATCTGGGAGCTCAAAACCGGGCGCTGCATCCGCAAAATCGAGGCGCACGAGCGTTTCGTGTCGTGCCTGTCCTGGGGCCGACAAACGCTCTCCAGCTCGGGCGAGGGCAGCGATGGGCCTGCGCTTATGAATGTCATCGCCAGCGGGAGCTCGGACCAGGTAAATGCGCTACCGCGTCTGTATTGGGGTGTGGCGGGGAACTGATTTATTGCGGTTGTCAGACTGTGAAGGTATGGGCGCCATGAGCCAGGCCCGGCCCGCCACGCGATCATGACCCTGTGCATGCTCTCCGCCCTTCTTCCAAACTCGCATACCCACTCTTCTCTTCCACCCGAAACGCACCACCCACCTCATCTTCATCTCTCACCACCACGCACGACGACCAATCGTGCCCCGTTCCCGCGACATCATACGACGACCATGGGGAGGGCATCACGCTCTGGACCCGCCCCCATGCTAGGCCGGTGTTCGGTTGGTCGAGGTGCGTTCTTCCCGTCGTTGATTTGACAGGCGGCGCGCGCAATCTAATCTGATTATCCCCTTTTCCCCTTTCCCGCGGCGTATTTGCCTCAGGCACACTCTCCGCCCCAGTTTTAGACGCTCGCTCGCTCGCTGGATCTGCTCCCGGAAATTATCATCTCTCTGCGTTCTTTACAGTGTACTCTCCTCTTCGGTCGTTCTCTCTACCATGTTATCCAAATGCTTGGAACGTCGCCCTCTCTCGCTCGCTTCATCGTGATCTAATCGGCATATCTGCTCGACGTGTGAGAGCGAAGAGCACCCGCGCATGTTCGCTCCCTCCCATGAACGTTTGAGCTCGAATGATGCAGAAGACGCGAAGGTTTTGTTGGGGCGTTCTGCCGGCAGCACCGACGTGCCGACGGCGAATAAATCCTTTTGCATGCTCTCCTGGGCCGCGCTATCACACGCCCGTGTACGTATCCGCAGATTGGCGTGCCCAATCTTGTCTGATAAGCCCCGCCGATCATCCGTCCGTTCCAGCTCCGTCCCCATGCACCATACGGACGGCTGCCGCCGCCCGCGAGGGTTTATATATAAGTATCCCGCTTCGAATTAATGCTAGCGAGCGGCCGTTGCTTTTCAACTCCCGCCTGTCCGCCTCGTTGAGTGCGCCTGACGACTAGCAGCCATGGGCAAGTCGGTGTTCTCCGTCCCCATCTTCTTCATCGTCTTCCGCGAGACGCTCGAAGCCGTCATCATCGTCTCCGTCCTCCTCGGCCTCGTCGAGCAGATCGTCCTCGACCACGACAAGAAGTTCCGCACGCCCATCGCCGAGGCGCCCTCCCCGTCTGCTGCCGAGGAAAAGTCCGCCGTTGCTGGGCCGAGTACGACGGCGACGACGGCGCAGGAGGACGATGTGGAGAGCGCGTTCAATAAGCGCCGGTTGATCCGCAAGATGCGGATACAGATCTTTGCGGGCGCGGGCGTTGGGCTGTTCGTCGCGCTTGCGGTCGGCGCGGCGTTTATTGCGGTGTGGTTCACGCAGGCTGCTGATCTTTGGAGCAAGTCGGAGGAGCTTTGGGAAGGCAAGTCGTCTGTATGGTCATTGTTGTAGGGAGCCCGCGCTAACTGAGCTTACCCGACAGGTATCTTCTCGCTCATTGCGTCGCTCATCATCTTGGTCATGGGCGTTACGATGCTCAAGCTTGACCGCGCAAAGGCCAAGTGGCGCGTCAAGCTTATGCACGCATTCAACAAGGCCGAACGTACGTCGGGTATCTGCGCCTCTTCCCGTTCAGTCTGTACTCACGTATATCATAGACGCTGATCGCACATCCGTTTCGAGCAAGTGGGGTCTGTTCATCCTGCCGTTCATCACTGTGATGCGCGAGGGTCTCGAGGCCGTCGTCTTCGTTGGTGGTGTTGCACTCGGACAGTCGGCCACTGCTATTCCGCTTGCTGCTATCATCGGTCTTATCTGCGGTCTTATCGTCGGCTACTTCATCTACGCGTTCGCGAGCCGAGCCAGTACGTGCTTCATAAACGCATTTCCTCTTGGAGAGTGCTGACGGCGAGTTGTGTAGCTCTTACTGTCTTCCTCATCGTCATGACCAACTTCATCCTCCTCATCGGCGCTGGTCTCTTCAGCCGCGCAGTCTGGGACTTCCAGACGAACGCGTTCAACCACCTTCTTGGTGCGGACGTGGACGACGCTGGAGGCGATGGACCCGGCTCGTACGATGTGCGCGGGAGCGTGTGGCATCTTGACTGCTGCAACCCCGAGAACAACTTCGATAACGGTGGCTGGCAAGTCTTCAACGCTCTCTTTGGCTGGACGAACTCTGCCACCCGTACGTCCTCCTCCCTCGCTGTTCTTCTAATTGAAGCATGCTGATGCGCGCATATAGTGGGTTCCGTACTCGGCTACGTCTTCTACTGGATCGCAGCCATCGTCATCCTCATCTACCTCAAGTTCAAAGAGGGAAGGACGAGGCTTTTCGGGTACGAGAGCGCCGCTGGCAAGGCGCGCCGTATCAGGATGGAGGAGCGCGACCGCGAGTCCACTGATGGCAAGGCGTCGTCCGAGGGCGAGGCTGGTCCAGGCGTGTCTGAGTTGCCGAGATAAAATGGGTGCATGGGAAGCTCCTCGACCGTGATGATGAGCCGTCGAGGCTGTACTTTACTTACTTGCTACGTTTCTTTACGGGATAACACGGATTTCATGTCTTATCATGCTCTATGTTGGATGTAGATTATCTCCAACGCGTTTAGCGAGATGCTCAGCATGATGGCCAGCGATAAGATTGGGACGCTATGGATCTATAGGCGCCCACGTACGCGTCTGATGGCGGCTGTGTGAAAAGATCAGGAACGCAGCTGATCGCGTTGAAGCGCGCTCGGTATATGGGGTCCCCGCGCCTCTTGCTTCCTCCCACCACCAGCTGCTGTCCTAGGCGCCCGAATGCAATGCTCGCGTCCACTTCCTCAGAGTCGGTCATCATGTCAGCCGGCCCATCCAATCTGAATAAACCGGTCCCATCACGCAAACGACGCGCCGAGAACGGAGCCGCGGGGCCGCGGAAGCGCTCAAAGGCCAAAGACGCGCAGTTGAAGCGTATTGGTGAGTAGTTTGTTAGGAAAAATGGTCAAAGATCTCAGTAGTGATAGCCATAGGAGATGAAGTCTGTGGATATGATATGCAGACTAGGCGGTGCCAGAACCAAGTTCCTAAGAGGGACGGCCTGCGGTATTGTTTCGTGTGCAGCGCCCGGCACGGAAGTGGCGACGAGTGCCGGTTTAAGGATATTCGCTCGCTGGCGTATACGATCGATGATGGTACCAAACGATACATTGGTGCAGCGTTCATCACGATACAGCATGAAGAACGTGTGGAGGCTACGCGTCCCGAGTTCACCTATCCGACCGCCTGGAACGAGGATATCCAAGCTCGGCATGTCGACGGACTGAAGGTACGCAATATGCTTAGTGTAGAGCAGAGAAATGCTGATAATTAAATAGGACGTGATTGCGCGCTCGCTACTGCCAACGTTGGAGAAGGAGCTGGACGGGTTTATGGCCTCAACGCCTGGAAGAGAACCGGTTTGGCGAGCCATGGAGACAACATGCAGACCTACGTGCGGTATGCCGATCTTCTCCTCGCATATGTATGCGGTGTACTCACTCTATACCAGACGGTTGCATGACGTCCATGTTCTGCGGCACATACATGTGCAGTCTCTGCGGCAGGGAGGTGTGCGAGGACTGTCTGGAACGCATTAGGGCTGCCGTGGGCGCAGGCCGGCCTCAAGACTATATTGGCGGGGTACCGCCCAGAATACTTCTCAAGGACCACGGTGCCGACGTTAAGCGTGTGCTCTCATGCTTCAGTCGCGAGGGTCATTATCCAGAACACTTTCGGCGGACGTCTCGCTTTACGGTCGCGCAGCTTCGGGATATCATTGCCGAAATGCGCGCTCGTGTGTCCGGATCACTTGATGACGGCGAGGCTACTACCGCTACTCTTGACCAACAGCCCTCAGAAGCATCGACGTCTATGCAGATCGACACCGAGAATCTGCAAGTATCCGCCTCCGATCAAACGAGCGCGCCATCTCTTGCTGGAACATCTTCAGGCGCAACATCTCTGGCTGGATCTCCATCTCCGCCCGAATCTGAACCCTCTCCCACTGCTATCGAACCTGCTATCGCTTCTTCTGCTTCCGATACGACCTCCGACGCGGCTCACGCTTTGTTGTCTATGGCGGCACGCATCTCCTCGCCGCCCCCATCGCATACCTTACCCACGCCTACCCCTACGCCTACGCCTCCACCCCCTGGTGGTACAGCACTACCGGCCACAGCTGTCGTGCCTACTGCCGCGACAAACCCGACGTCTATACCTACCCTGGTCGGAGACTACGGGTCCGAGCTATCTGGTGAAGACGATGCTTCGCAGCTGGATAATGACAGGGAGGCTACGCCAACTCCCCTCATGCCTGTTACGCCTACTCTTGATGATGCCCCACATCCACCGCCACTACCACCACCTGAACCGTCGATGAGCGTTACGCCTGAACCCGAAGCGCCCATCCCTCCTGCATCTCCTGCGCCGTCTGCCCTTACGGCGTTAACGGAGGATGGTCCGTCCGCTCGTGCATCTCCCGCCCCCGCTCCCGCTCCCGCACCTGCACCTTCGCGCAGCCCTACACCTACACCGACCCCCGCTGCCATACCGGATCCCGGGCCTGTCGTAGCGCCCGCGGAAGTCGCACCACCTGCACCACCTCCTATACCATCCTACGACACGCCGCACTTCAAGGAGACGGACGCAGACTGGACCGAAGACAACTTCCGCAAACTATGGGCCCAAGGCAAACCTGTCGTCGTAACCGACCTTCTCCACAAATTCACGCACGCATGGTCGCCCGAGTACTTCATCGAGAACTACGGCCACCAAGCGTGCAAGCTCGTCGAGTGCCAGTCCGAGCGCGAAGAGGACCGCGACGTCGAGACGTTTTTCCGTCAGATGGGTACAAGGCGTGCGCTCAACGGCGATATCTGGAAGTTGAAGGACTGGCCGCCGACGAGCGAGTTTTCGAAGGATTTTCCGGAGCTGTATATGGATTTTGAGAATGCGGTGCCGATGCCTTCGTATACGCGACGGGACGGCGTGTTCAATATAGCGTCGCATTTCCCGCAGAACGCGCTCAAGCCTGATCTCGGTGCGCACCACTTGTCTGCATTCTATATGCGCTTGACGCTCATGGATCTGTTTTTAGGTCCGAAAATGTACAACGCCTTCGCCACATTCGAAACCGCCGGTTCAAAAGGCTCAACGCGCCTACACATGGACGTCGCCGACGCAGTAAACATCATGCTCTGGTCCAAGCGCCCGCCCGAGGACCCCTCCACCGAGCCGCCCTGCGCCGCATGGGACATCTTCCGCGCCGAGGACGCGGACAGGCTGCGCGAGCTGATGCGCGAGAAGTTCGCGGACGCGGGCGATAGCGATCCGATACACTCGCAGAAGTACTATCTGGATGAGGATATTAGGCGCGAGTTTGCGGAGAGGGGCGTGTGGAGTCATAGGATATATCAGCGTGTGGGCGAGGCGGTGTTTATTCCGGCGGGGTGTGCGCATCAGGTACGACTCTTCCCTCTCCTCCCTTCCCTCCCTTCCTCCACTCCGAACTGTCGAAATGCAGACGCTTACTTGATTCATTTTATTGGTAGGTCTGCAACCTGGCCGACTGCATCAAAGTGGCGGCGGACTTTGTCAGCCTGGAGAACATCCAGCGGTGCGCGCAGCTCACGCAGGAGTTCCGGAGGCTGAACTTTTCGTATCATTGGAAGGAGGACGTGTTGCAGCTGAGGACGATGATGTGGTTCGCGTGGGAGTCGTGTTCGCGGCGCGGGTTGGGCGCGGCTCGAGGTGATGAGGAGACGGCTCGAGGCGATGAGGAGACGACTCGAGGGGAGGAGGAGGAGGAAAAGGAAGAGGAGGGTAGTGCTGGTGCTGGCGGAGAGGGTGAGATGGAGGTGGACGTTGTGGGGGATTAGATGAGCGCTCGTATATGCATCGCTACGCATTTGGTTTCCTTGTTTTGTCGTCGGTCGCGCTTGCTTTCTTGTTCGCTATGATTTCTTGTGTATGATTGTTGTCGACGCTCTCGCTTATGGAATGATAATCAATCCCTCATCTTTTGCATTGCTTGCGCGCCTTCACGCGGACGGTACTGCTCAAACTATGAGGATGCTTGGCGGAGTTCACACGATGAAAGATGTTTGAACGTCTGCATTCCACGAAGCGTACGACGGATCAACCGCCGCAAACTACAAAGATACAGCCGCAAGAGTAGTAATGTACACGCGCGTTACATGAACCCTAGTGATGATCCACCCAAGACCCTTCTTAGATGATGCTGGTAGCCGACGAGCCGGGGTTAAAGGCGATGCAGTTGATCGAGATGAGGCCCGACTGCAAGGCGCACGTCAGTACAGATGTACTGGAAGAGAGAAAGATGAGGGAGAAGACGTACGAAGTGGCCACCGTCGCAGCACACGGTCTGCTGGTTGCACTGGACACCGCCGCTGAGGTCCTGGATGAGCGGCGAGCAGGTGAGGCCAACGGGGGCGTTGGAGCCTGCGAGCGCGTCCGGGAAGAGCGAGTACATGTCGCTGGTCAAGATCTTCGAGAAGTCGGTCGACTTGGCCTGTACCGATGCGTGATGAGCACAGTAGAAGATGATGATAAAGAGACGATATAACTGACCGACTGGACGGAGTTGCAGCACTGGACGTCACCCTTGTTGCAGGTCTTGGCCTCAGCGGCGGGCTGGTAGTCCTACATCGCGCGCGGATGTCAGTATGGGGTTCCAAGTAGAGAAGAGATGATGAAGACAAACCTTCTTCATGTAGTACTCGGCCTCGGCCATGTCGGGGTCCTCGTAAGCGTCGTAAGACGGCTCAGCGTCGTACGCCTTCTTGTAGTTGTCGCCGTAGTGCTTCTTGTACGACTTGCGCATCTTGTTGTCCATCGACGGCTCGTAGTCGTTCGCCTTGGGCGCAGCGTAGTCGGTGTAAGCCGGCGCGGCGTACTCCGAAGACGAAGTGTACGAGGGCTTCTCGTAGTACGACGACGAGGCTGGCTCGTAGCCGTACGAGGAGGAGGTCGTGTAGGCCGGCTCGGCGTACATGGAGGTCGTGGTGGCGTACGAGTCGACGGAGGAGTAGTCGTAGCCGTAGGCGGAGGTGGCGGCAGCGGCGGCGGCGGCGACGAGGGCGAGGCGGGAGACCATGATGAAGAGTAGAAGGGCGTGGGTAGGGTGGGTAACGCGGTGTAGGTAGTGAATTGTTGGTGAGGTGACAATATTTTGGGTGGCTGCTTTTATGCGCCGCACGCCCGGCGGGGCTGTATCCATACGGATAGGTTGAAGCCCTTGAAACGCAGCCAACTTCAACGACGGGCGAGCATGGAGAGTCCGAGGCGCGCATGCGTATCAAAGTGACATGGACGGCTGCTCTTCCAGTCATCGGGACGCAAGCCAACTTGTGCCACCCACAACATTTCCAAGCACAAGAGACGTGTATTTCGTGGGTCTCAAAAGAGGGAAACCGCTCTTGCGAGCGAGTGCAGGGCCCGCAGCGGCGAAGTGTACAAAGAGCGGACTGGAGTACGCGGCGGCGGCGCTGGATCTGGGCCAGACGTTCACATTCATTGGCTTATCGCTGGTGCGACACGAGCGCGCGTCGAGGCTGGCATATGTACGACGTCCAACATGGTTCAAATATGAGTGTCACTTCGGCTCCGTTGCCCGGCATGAGCTCGGCGTCGTCGGTGATGGCCGTTCGAGAACGAGTCGCGTGCCGAGCGCGTCGTGCATTTCCTGCTCTTACTCTCGTGTTGGATGCACGTCCATATATTCACAAAACAACCGGAGTGCTAATTCCCCAATGCACACTTGTATCTGGGGTGACAGACTTCGCCGTTTGTGAAAGATGTCCTCTGCCAAGTTGGATAGACAGCTGTCGACGCCGTTCGCCCGTGTTTCGACTGGCTCTTTGCCTGCGTACCTTCAGCGGGTTCACGTCCGCTTTGTTCCTCCGCTCACCTCTTGGGTGCTCTATCTGGCCATTTCAAGAGCTGTGGAGGCGATCTACCTGCTAATAATGCATGATATTCGCGTATGGACGGCCGAAGAGACAATGTCGGACGTGCGAAGGATCCGGTTGACGACTTGCTCGCGGATGGCTGCGACAGACAGCTGGCCATCGCGTTCATACAGCTCACGCGCTCAGACTGGCAGGATCTCGATCCACGCTATATAAACGGCGACGCGAAATTCTCAAAGACTCCATCGACCTCGTCGTTCACATCGCTATCCGCGCACTTCCTTCCTTTTCACTCTCTCTTCACAGCTTCTATCCCGCTATGTTTGCCCGCCTCGCCTTCATCGCCGCCGCCGTCGCGCTCGCCTCCGCCGCGCAGTCGCCCCGTGCCACCGCCGCCAAGCGCAACAACGACTACGCGCCTGCGCCCACCTACGAGGCGTCTTACGAGCCGACCTACGAGCCGACCTACGAGAGCGACTACCAGGTTTGACTTTACTTCCTCTATCTCCTACCGTTGTGCTCTTCTGACTTGCCTTCCTTCTTATAGCCCGCTTACAAGCCCAAGCCCTACAAGCCCGACAACTACGACAAGGCTTACGACTACGCCTTCGAGCACTACGCCCACGAGGCCAAGGAGGACCGCCGCCGCGGCCTCGGCTACGGCGAGACCTGGGAGGACAACTTTGAGCGCCGCCACGTTAGTCTTCTCTCCTTGTCATATTCATATGCGCCGTTGTCTAACATCATCCTCTTTCAGGAGTCCGACTACGAGCCCGAGTACCAGCCTGAGTACGAGGCGGAGTACCAACCGGAGTACGAGCCTGAGTACGAGGCGGAGCCCATGTACGAGCCCGAGTACGAGCCGGAATACGAGCCGGAGTACCAGCCCGAGTACCAGCCCGAGTACTCTGACTACGAGCCGGAGTACGAGGAGTACGAGAAGCGCAACATGCCCTCGGACGTCAGTACCCTCTCATCGTCTTTCTCGAGCCGACGCTGATGAATCATTTTACAGTGCAAGGACCACTCTTGCTACAACAAGGACTTCGTCCCGCGCAACGTTCCGGTCAGCAGCTGCAACACTGGTGACCTCCAGTGCTGCAACCAGGTCCAGACCGTAAGTTCGCTCTTGATGTCCCGTATTTCTCGTGGCACTGACGCTATTCATCTATCAGGCCAAGAACGTCGACTTCGAGCAGTTCAAGGGCTCCGACATCTTCGAGCTCATCCCCAACCAGCTCCGCGGCTCCAACGCCCCGGTCGGCCTCGACTGCTCGCCGCTCATCGCTGACACCTCGGGTGCCGTCCAGTGCAACCAGCAGTCCGTGTGCTGCGACGGTGGCCACTTCTCCGGCCTCTTCTCGGTCAACTGCAACGCCTTCAACGGTGGCTCCCAGTCCGCTGGTATCTTCTAAGTTACTCTACTCTCTCTTGTACTCTTTGGGCTCTGTTTGGACGGGTGGATGTTCTCTTTGTACGATTGGCGGGGTTTGATCTGTGTGGGGAGTGTTGATTAGGATATTTGTGTTGTGCGCCAGCGTACTTTACCTACGCTTAATTCATGTCTGTTCGGTGATCTACGCCGAGCAGTCTACTACCAAACTTCCATCGTGTGAACCGATCGTCATAGTACGCCTAAGCTTCTACGTACGCTTTCTGGAGCATGGGCACATTTCTTGAGTCTATATGCGCGAAAGCCACGGTGTTGGCGAATAAAGCCCTGATCGCGATGAAACCGAGGACGTCATTTCATCTCGATTCTCGACGCGTGCGCCGAATGTGGCCGCAAGTTGAGCTCCTTGTACTACAACCTCCACCATCCTCGGCGCGATGGCTGAATCTGCAGCCCCAACCGAAGTCCTCGACTCTGAACGCTTCTTGATATCTGCTGGCTCTATATTATTCCGCAACTTACCTCCCTCATCCAACGACGCGCCGCTCGAGGTCTGCTTGATCTGGCACACCGTACGCAAGGAATGGCTGCTACCCAAAGGTCGCAAAGACCGCGGAGAAGATCTACAAGCGACCGCCGCGAGGGAAACATACGAGGAGACTGGATATCCGTGCAAGCTTCTGCCCCTAAATATGACAACGCGCGCGCCCGCGCCCGGTCTGCACACAAAAGACGCCGTGCAGAGCGTCGAGGGATGTCTGGAACCGTTCACGATCACTATCCGACATACCGAGCCGGACGAGGTCAAGATCACGTCCTGGTTCGCGTCCGTTGCGACGGGCGAGAAGGAGGAGAACACGCAGATGTCCACGGAGCAATATACGAGCTCGTTCTTCCCGGCCGACGAGGCGCTCGAGCGCGCGGCGTATCGCGATGATAGGAGTATCATTGCCAGGGCGATAAAGCTTGTGCGCGAGACCTATGTCAATGGAGATGGTGCGGCGAGTACGGCTTGAAGGGAAAGATCCGCCG